ATTTTATATTTTTTAATTACATACTGTTAGAATATAAATAACTTTTACATACATTTACAAGAATAAATACAATTCAAGAACTATTGCGTTTTATGTCTTATAATGGTTATTGTAACAAAATATATTTGTTAGTTACTCTCTCCGTTCCAAAAAGAAATATCCATTTACTATTACAGTCTCTCGGTAACTCTTATTTGTTTGCATATTTTCTCTGATCAGTTGATAAAATAAAATATTCTTGTCAGCTCTTGTTTTGTAGAGTTTTCGATGTACTTTTAAATATAAATTTTTTATTTCGTATTTCTTTACTAATTGTAAATAAAATCATTTTAAAAGTTATGGAGTTTTGCACGTTGATCAAAATAAGTAAACATTATGGGACGGAGCAGGGCCGGTCCCGAGAATTCATAGGCCTGGGCCGAAACAAAAAAAGGCCCAAAAAATCCTATCCCTAATGATCTAACATATTAACATATTCTTGCTCTATTTGTAGATGATCTTGCTCTTCCATCTCTTTCACTTCTACTTCTTCGTCTTCAACAACAGGATTAATAAACTTAGATAGAGCTCCGGCTTGAGAGTTTCTCATTTCTTCATCTTGTTTTCTTTTTTTTTTTTGTTTTTTGACTACTGGATACTTGTTTAGGAGCCATAGTTATTGAATTATTTCTGAAACAAAATCCAAATTCATAAATTCTACTACTTAGTAAAATCAAATATGAAAAAGCGAGCAAATAAATAAATATATCATAAATTCATATCAATTCGTCAATTTTTCAGTTTTTTTAATATAAATATATCATAAATAACAAATTCAATCAATTCATCCAAATCAAATAAATAACATATAGAACTATTAATTCATTTTATTTTAAAGAATGAAATTAGAAAAGATTTCAAATTAAAAGTTAATAATTAACCCTAGATTTTAAATCTAAAAAATGAAATAATGAAAGAAAATTAATAAATAAAAATTACAAAATTGGAAAGCTATGAATATGGAATACCTAGAGGCTGGAGGTCGGCGTGACGGCGTCCGGGGGCGTCGTAACGTCGTCTTTCGTGAATCGTGTTCTTCTTCGGCTTCTTCCCAAATCGGAAAATCCCGTCAATCTGCATCTTCCTTCGGTTCTTTCTTGGGCCTTAAATGTGACGGGCTGCTTATATATATATATATATATATATATATATATATATATATATATATATATATATATATATATATAAAATATTAAAAACAATTTTTTTGTGCCCCTTAAATATTTGGGCCCGGCCCGGACGGACACTTTGTCCTCCTATTGGGCCGGCCCTGAGACGGAGGGACTATAATATAACAAGTCATGATTGGAGAAAGGAGCAAAAAGTGGCTTGTTATACCACTATTCATTTGCTTTAAAAAAGTAATAGCAAGCCACATATAGCAAGCGGGAATAACGGGCTAAAAAGTAATATGCTCTTAGATGGCAAAAAAGATATGCAAACGGGCTAATGCACAAATGTTCTGTTTGAGAATAACGTTAGAGATAAGCGTTACTGTTTTGGATAAAATTTTAACGGTGCAGATTATTTTGAAAACGCTAACGCTAAACGCAGACCGTATATATAGTCTTTTCAAAACGATAACGCTAATAGGTAACACTATTACCAAATAGGCCTAAATTCTAAATTCCGCCCGAGTGAGTTTTTATTTTCCTATAGGACTGTATGGAGGAGTATATAGAGAGAGTCCTGGGCTCCCCGCCCCCTTAAATGGAAAGGTTGAGTGGAATATTATATAAGTATAGGGGTGGATATTAAGGTTTACCCCTTTTTCTTTTTAGTTAGAATTTCAGAGTTGAATACTAAAATAAATTAAAAGATGTTCGAAGAAATTGGAAAAAGTTAGAAAAAATTTTAAACTAATTTTGATCGAAAAAACTCAAAGGTGGTAAAACGGAGGGAGCAACAGACTTTTTCGTACTTTAGCAGCCGCAAACGGAGCTAGGGAACGCACAGAAGACTGAAGGGTGCGGACAGAGGATGAAGAAATTTGCCTCATCTTCACTGCGACATGCTGCTCACTTCACCAGGAAACCATCCAGCACTTCAACATTCCCTTCAATTGTCAGGTATGAACATATGATTTATTATAATTTATTGATTTTAATGATCAAATTAATTGTTGGGTTTCAGATCTCGTGGGCCTAGGAGACAGGCAAATCGTGGGCCCACCGATTTGACAAGGCATGCAGGTCCCCATGCGCAGTGGGTCATGTCCGGTAGTGTGAAGTTGAGGCCGAGCACGCATGCCCTGGTCTTAGAGACCTCCTGTGGAGAGCCGACCGACTACGGTCTGAGGCCGAGCACGTCCTCTTCAGGCCGAGCACGGGTATGTATCCAGATGCTGTAGCCTCCTTGGGACCTTGGTCTCTTTCTTGGTTCTCCTCAGCCGAGTGCGTCTGATCTGTTATATGAATTGTGCCTTGCTGGGCCGCTATTCTGTTGGGCCGGATACCCTCATTCCGGAGTATGTCTTTTCAATTTTTAAATGTGTGATTTATGTTTTCTTCCTCTATAGTTCTACTAAATTTAATTTCTTCTTCTATATTTGTCTTTGTATATGAAAATAAAAAACTATAGAGTAATTTATGGAAAAAGTATAGAGTTATTTGAAGAAGTGAAACTATAATACTTATTATATTCCATATTAATTTTCTATTACTATTTTCTTGATATATATATAAATGAATTAATATAAACATACTTAATGTCTATGAACATTTATTTTTTTATTTTTGGAGGTTTAAAAAAGATTTATAATAGCCCTAAGTCAATGGAGAGAGTAACCCATTTGACTATCAAGGAAAGAGTTGCCAATTTTTCTTCCCCTCGGGATCCATTTAGGCCGGAGAATCAGTAAGGCGATTCAGCAAACCCCATTGCAGCCATTCATTTAGGCTTTGTTTGGTAACATCGTTTTCGATTAGCGTTAGCGTTTTAGATAAAATTTTAACGGTGCAAATTAATTATGAAAACGCTAACGATAAAGGCTATCATCGGATAGTTTTTTCAAAACGCTAACGCTAATATCTGACGCTGATGCCAAACGGGGCCTTAATTTCTTGAGTGTGAATCTTGCTGCCGGCCGATGAACTCCTCTCCCCGGGCAAAAGAATCGAACTAGCATAGTATCATAACGGGTCGTTATGATACCGAATCATTTAAAGTGTTTTAAGTGGGATTGATTTTTTCTATAATGAATTGAAACCGAACAAATATCAAATGATCGGAGATGGACCGTGATACAAATATGTAAAACCGATCAACACACACCGAATCGTTTGAAGCTATATATGTAGTATTTCAAAAATACTTAGAGTCTGTTCTTTAAGACTGAAAAAAGAGCTGGCTGTTGGAAGAAATCGAAAGAAACTAGAAGGAATTTAAAGAAACTGGAAGAACTACAAGAAACTGGAAGGAACTGAAAGAAATTGGAAGGAACTTGAAGAAACTAGAAGAAATTGGAAGAAACTGGAAAAACATGAAGAAATTGAAAGGAATTGGAAGAAACTGGAAGAAAACTAAAAAAAATTAATATAAACTGAAAAATTGGAAAATCTAAAACACTTAATTTTTTTTGTGTATTTTTATATTATTCTCATTCTTGTTGTTATAAATTATTATTATTATTATTATTATTATTATTATTACTATTACTATTACTATTACTATTATTGTTGTTGTTGTTGTTGTTGTTTTTGTCACATTATCTTAATGAATGCCTAAAAGATATAAAAAATATTGTTATTTTTCATATACAAAAAATACTATTTTTGCTAAAAAATTAATTAGAATATAAAATTAGAATAAACATCAAAATGTTAAATATTTAAAAGTTATTTTGGCTATGTTGCACATCACTTAATTTATGCAGTATTTCTCATAAAATATTGATGTTTTTCTATTTTATCACGTAGATTAATATACCAAAAAATGGTATTATTTATATTAAAAAGTTTGAGAAAAAAAATAATGAGTGTGAATTACTCAGTATAAAAGAGTTTGAAGAAAATAAAAATACTTGGAATAAATTGGAAGGAACTGGAGAAAACTTGAAAAAACATGAAGGAACTGGAAGAAACTGGAAGAACTAGAAGGAACGGAAAGAAATTGGAATTTAAGAGTTCAAGCTCTAAAGAACCGACTCTTATTGTCTACTTCATCTTACCATATATAGAGTACTCCGTATTGTATTTTTCTTCTTTTTAATTCTCTCATTATTATTGTTGTTATTATATTTATTACTATTATGAGTATTATATACTCCCTCCGTCCCTAAATAAAGTTCCATTTTTGACTTTTTGAGGATTTAAGGGAGGGATATTTTTGTGTTGACTTTCCAAAAATACCCTTGATGTGATGTGTAAAAGTAAGATGTGATAGGTAGATTATTAGTAAAAAGGTATGATGTGATAGGTATGGTATGAAAAAGTAAGGGGTAAAAGGGGTTTTTTAAGGGAAAAGAGAAGTTTATTTAGGGACAAAGAAAAAACGAAAGAGGAACTTTATTTAGGGACGGAGGGAGTATTATTTTGGAGTTATTAATATTCGGATATTGTATGAATTGAAAAGAGTGTATACTCCGGGTATTTTTAAACATTAGACTTATTATCTTTTATTTTTTATGTTTATGATTCTTTTTAAATTTCAAATCAATATTTTTTTTAACAAAGTTATGCCTTTTTAACAAAATTATGTTTTTATTTTACTCGAGGTAGTATTCTTTCATTAATGCATATTTAATGTTTTTGGCATGCTTTGAGTATGAGTATGATATTGTATCGTTTAGTTTAAAAAATGGTACTGAATAATTTTAAAGTTTATCCAGTACCGATGTCAAATCATTTAAATTAAAATAATTTGTAATAGGTTCTAATAGTATCACAAATAATTACCAACTGTGCCCACCCTTAATTCATATTAGCTGTCCTGAGTGAATGGAGCGAGTGACTCATTTGTGACTATAGTGGCAAAGAGTTGCCAATTCTCATTTCCGCTGGGATCCGTTTAGGCCGTAGAATCAGGGAGGCAATTCCGCAAACACCTTACTCGCTATTCGTTTCTGAATCTTGCCGCCGGTCGATGGACTCATCTCTGTGGATCCGGCAATTACTGGACTCCGATCAACGGTTATTCCGCCATTGCATCAACCTTCTCCTCCTCAGCTCTCTCCCGATCTACATCTCCTGCCGCTTCATCACCGCCCCTTTCGGAAAACACGTCCGCCCCGGGTGGGGCCCGACCCTCCCGGCACCTTTGGCCTGGTTTCTCATGGAGAGCCCCACGCTCTGGCTCACCCTCCTCCTCTTCCCTCTCGGCAAGAACCACTCAGACCCGATCGCCCGAATCCTCATTTCTCCCTACCTGATCCACTACGCCAATCGCACTTTACTCTACCCGATCCGGATCCATCTCGCCTCCGCCCGCCTGAAACGGCCCGCCGCTAGGTTTCCGGCGAGCGTTGCAGCGATGGCGTTCGCTTTCAACGTCGTGAACGCTTACCTGCAGACCAGATGGATCTCCCACTACGCCGATCACGCCGGCGGCGCGCTGTTCTGGTGCCGATTCGGCGCCGGATCGGCCGTTTTCATAGCCGGAATGGCGGCGAATTGCTGGGCGGACAGAGTGCTGCTTCGCCTGAAAAGCGAGGGCGGCGGGTATAAGATTCCGAGAGGAGGGCTCTTCGAGTGTGTGAGCTGCCCGAATTACATGGGCGAGATTTTGGAGTGGTTTGGATGGGGGGTTGTGATGAATTGGTCTTCTGCGGCGGGCTTCGCCTTCTTCTTGTCCACCATTGCCAACCTAGCTCCCAGAGCTTATTCCCATCACAAATGGTACTTGGAGAAATTCGGGGAAGATTACCCCAGAAAAAGGAAAGCTGTGATTCCATTTCTGTACTGAAAGTAAGTTCTCAAAAACCCAGTTTCATTCTCTACTCTGCAAAATGCACATTTTCCTGATGTTATTGATCCTCCTTCCGGTCTCTTCATCTTCAATTACTCCCTCCGTCCACATGTATTTGTTAATATTTGATTTTTGGAACTGTTCATCTAAGCACTTTGATTCATCAAATTCTCTCAATGTGTAAGCCTAAATATAGTCATGTGTGATCTTGTTTGATTTGTCTTAACATATAGATTATTAATATATAATTTTTATAATTTTTTAATATACAAATTACAAGATAAAATGGATTAAAGAAGTGCATTGGATGATGTGCAAAAATGAAAGTGGACAAATACAGGGGGACGGAGGGAGTATGTTATATTTGGTGGTGCGGACTGCGGAGTACACTCTTCTTTGAGTTTGTTAGGATAAAAGCCGTTTTAATAGGGTTCCAAGGGGGCAGCGTACCCTTGGCGGAGTTCGGGAGCAGCGCCCCCGAGCAGATGTTCCAAGGGCGGCAGTCTGCGGGTTCAAGGGGCAAAGCCCCTGACTGGGGTCAAAAAATTTTATTTTAGACAAAGTGCTATCTTGAAAATTTATTTGAATTTTTTGTTTTCGATTTTTCTTTAAAGGAAAAAATCGGTAACTGATAGCGTTTTTTCCTGTGAAAACTCGCGCTTAGGGTCGCGCGCTTTTGGAAGAGATGTGCGACCGCATCCCAACAACTCCCGCTTCTCATCCCCTCCGCATCTATAAAATCATGTTCTTCCATGGTCGCCAAAAAGGTTCGATTTTTTCCATAACAAAGCTATACTTATTCTTGATAACATTGAGTTTTATCCGATTGAATTTTGGATTGAACTCCCAAAATATTCAATCTGAAAGTGTTCAACACGACTATCGATTTATCCGCGTTATACTTCTCGTCTATCCCCAACAAATTATGCTTCCATTTTCAAGTCCAAATGGTAATTATAACACTACCTTGTGAAAAACTGAAAACAACTACAATTTTCAAGTGAATAATGTTGCAGATTAGAGAACCATTTGAAAACAACTAACTATATCTTTTTAAAGGAACAACTAACTATTATGTCATGCTTTTGTCTCTGGTTGCTCTAAAAAAATGTTTCAATACATTTAAGAAAAGAAAGGTTCACATTGCCAATATAATCTCCAATCACAAGGTTTAACCTTTCTTTTATGTTATGTCCTTTTTTTTATTTCTTACCTAGACCAAATGAATATTTTACCGAGAACCAACAAGGAATTCCATTAATAACTGGCCGTTTTGAACCTCTGGAAGAACAGAATGAATTTAGTAGGAGGTCCCAATGACCATAGATCGAACCTATCCAATTTTTACAGTACGATGGTTGGCGTGTTCACGGCCTAGCTATACCTACCGTCTTTTGTTTTTGGGATCAATATCAGCAATGCAGTTCATGAGTTTCTTGTACTTTAGAGTTTCTTAATCGCTTGTAGTGGTGTATCAGTTTATATGTGTATTTTACATCTTTGTATGTCATTCATGACTATCAAGTCCATCAATACCGGCACCAAAGGAAGAAAAATGGGTTTCTTCTCTTTTTTTGGATACTATCTATAATTACTCTTGGAAGGTTTTATTGTCCCAAAATGTCATCCTACAAATTTTTTAATAAAAAAATATGGTAATGCTACTCTCTTTGCACTACAAGAATACTTCGTATTTGCGTGGAAAAAATCCGCTAGTAAAGGGCTAAAAACTGCCAGTACCGAGTAGTTACTGTCGGCCTTGCGGCGGAAGTCAATCCGCCGGTGATTCGAGCGCTGGAAATATTACTAGAATGTTTATCCGCCGGTAATCTAATGGGAGAATAGTCCGTCGGTAAAATGGCGGGGATAAGTTCCGCCAATAAAGTAACGGGGAATACCTTCGCCGGTACCGTAACGGTAAATATTTCCACCAGTAAAGGAACATGGGATATTTCCGCCGGTACCGTAGGGGGAAATAACTCCGCCAGTATGTAAAAACATAAAAAAAACGGCGGAAATGTTTCCCGCAATTTGTTTTTTAACTAAAAAAATAATTTATTTACTCTTTAATCTAAAAACATTAATTAAGGAATCTAAACAATACCATATTTCTCATGATTCCGAATGCAATAGTTCATAAATTAAACACTTCTCAATGTAAAACACATACCATCTTCAAAAGAGTACAAAAACATTCATCAAGATGAAACAAGTTAGTAAATCAAATTCATACACCACTTAAGTCAAAGATAAGAAAGCATTACATCATTAACGTCGTCGATGGAATTCTTCCCTACGCTCATCACGAGTATGCTTTGTGGGCGATGAAGTAGCCTGCGATGCCTCAATAGCATTGATGCGAGCAAACATAGCGTCTATATATGGTACTGCGCATAGTTGTTAAATCTTCCTCCTGCTTTTTAATTTTCTCCTCTTGTAGTTGACTATGTTCTGCTTGTTTCTCCCTCATATCATCCATCTCCTTTTGCAATTGTTCAGCGGATAGATTACAAGATCCATAGCTAGCATCTTGCGAAGTGTAGAAAGATGTAGATGCCCCTGCACGTGAAAAAGTAGAAGAGAAGCCTGTCGTACCAAATGCATGCCCATGTTTCTTGCCACCAACAACTTCAGACCATGTCTGTAACTTTGTCAACTTATCGACTTCAATAGATTGGGTTTCATATGTCGAGCTTTGAGATGAAATCTCTTTGATCTTCTCTTGGTATGCGGTCTACAAAAAAAATTATATGTTTGGATATAGAAACTAGCAACAATTAAAGTGACAAACAAAAAAAATTATATATTTGAATATATAAATTAACTAGCAAAGGTTAAAGGTACCTCATGAAAGAAGACAAAAGCTAGAAACTATTTGTTGCACATTCATCATATACCCTAAAGTTATTTACTGCAAATTCATACTATACCCTAACATATATAGACACACACACACACACACAATTAAAATATTGTGTAGAGATAGAAATATATTTACATATGTCTCCTTTGAGCGGTCATCAACCCAACTCCCATCCTTACGTTGACGTGTTACGTAAACCATCCCATCCTTTGAGCCTACATTTCAAATGTATACAATTATATTCACATATCATACAACACAAAAGACAATTACATAGTGAAAATATTAATTAAAATATCATCACAAATTATATACAAGATTTTCTACCACTTCAATGTGGGGGATAGGCCCACTAGTGTGAAGTGCTCCACCCTTATCTGATGCTTGATTTGCTTTTGCCTGTGCAGATTTCTTAACATACTCGTCTGTCGACCAATAAGCAACAAGTCCTTTTCCATGTTGCATTTCCTATCCACTTGGGTTGTTCCATTGAGACCCTTACTTCACCTAGCATGTCACTTAAACGTTTTCCACCCTTTTCATGCCAATTTTTTCTCATCTGTACATCGTCTTCGGGATCCCATGTGCAACGTTCCTATATACAGAAAAATGAATGGTCCATAAAGTAATGAATAATCATTAAAAAATTAAAACAAAAGCTTATAAAAAGATAGCCTTAGTGTAAGATAACACAACACACGTCAGAATAATCATTAAAAAAAACTGATGCACAAGCATACAAAAAAACTATTACTAAAAAAACTGCCTGAAATCTTCTCCAACAACGTCTGCAGCCACCGGCGCACGTCAGAATTCTCTCTTCTCCAACGACGTTAGCAGCCACCGGCGCACGTCAAATTTCTCTCTTCTCAAAGTTTCTAGTTTCCAGCTAGTGTCCAAGCTTCCCCTTGCTTCAGCCAGAGTTTATCTTGAGCGGGGATGTTAGACAATAATACTAATATTACTTCTGTTAGTATTGGTTATGATAGTGTTTGATTATTAGTCAGCTTCATATTCCTATTTGTAGTAGATGTTGTATTTTAGTTAATCTCCATTCTCTATTCCTAGTTGTGTTAGAAGTTTTTTCTATATATACTCTATCATGTAACTTATAATTCAATGAACAATATTATTATCCCAATATTTCAACACTTTTAAGTTTCAATGGAAGCAGTTCTCTATTATGACTTCTTGCGCAATGACAATTAATAAAAGTCAAGGCCAATCGTGGAAGCATGTGGGATTATTTCTCAAGAAACCAGTTTTCAGTCACGGCCAACTTTACGTTGTTGTCTCCCGAGTGACTAATTGACGTGGTATGAAGGTTTTGATTTGTAATGATGACCTACAACCTTCAAATAACACAACAAATGTAGTGTACAAAGAAGTCTTTCAAAACATTTAATGTAGTCTTTTTTTTTGTCATGCATTCCTCAATTTTAGTATGTAATTAATACTTTTAATGCTTATATTTAAAGCAATTTTGTTTCGTTGTCTTTATTTCCATTATAAATTTAAATTTTATTTTTCGTTTACTGTGCCAAACTAATGACCGTGCAACGCACGGGTTAGAGAACTAGTATGAATCAATAATATAAGCTTACTAAAATACAAAGACTATCATAAGTAATACTATCATAATTGTTATTATTATTATTGTTGTTGTTGTTGTTATTGTTTAACAGGAACCAGTGTATAATAATCCTCTCTAGACTTTACAAATCTGAAATCTATTAGGAATTTTGTAACTATATGCTCAAACTTCGGGGGTTCAAGGAGTGTAAATTTTTGGTCAACAACCCTTATATATGAAGGCAAATTTAATTAATTTGAGTAAATTTAGTTAATTTGAGTTGGTAAGTAAGGCTCTGTTCCGTTCAACTCATTTTTTATGATATGATCTGATTTTGATAAGTTCTGATCTGATCTGATTGGATCTGATCAGCTCAGGTCTAATTTGATTGGATCTGATCTAATTCGATCTGGTTTGATCAAATATGATTTGATTTAAAATTCAAATCAATAATTTGATTTGACTTTATAATAACGTTTGAAAATTGTAATGATAATTAATATTATAATATAATCAATATTTTTATTTTATGATTATTTTTTAATAAAATAAAATTAGTTAATTCATATATTGGAATAATAATTCATATTATAATGTAATAATATTTTTTATTTTATGATTATTTTTTTTTTGAAATTAGAATATTAATTTAATATTTTAATAATTACTTCATATACACATTAGAATAAATATTTAATTTATATATACATTAAAAAGTAATTAAATTTAGATAATCAATATATAAAAGAGATAGTATTTTTATTAAAGTATCTCACCCTTATAAAAAATCAACACTTTAGAAACTCAAATTACAAGTAGCAACAAAAATGTATTTTAAAAGTAGAATTAGATTGACATTGTCAATGTATGTATTTTAAAAATAATTTTTTCGACGTCTAATAATTAAGGATTACTTTCTCAGTTTTCTATTTAACTTGTTTTTAAAGTTTATTCTTTTTTATTTTTAAGAATAATAATAATGATAACAATAATAATAATAGTAATAATAATTCTTGATGGAATTTGATCTAATCTGGTCTGATCTGATTGGATTTGATCTGATGGGATCTGATCTGATCTAATCTGATTGGATCTGATCTGATCTGATTGGATATAATCTCATCTGATTGGATCTGATCTGCTGATTTTAATAAGAATAAGAAAAAATAAGTTGAACGGAACAGGGCCTAAGTCAATAACGTGTAAAACTATCTATTTACAATTTGACCCGAAACATGAAAAAGTGGGAGAAATGATTAAGGCCCCAAAACAATCCTTCATGATCCTCTATTGACATTAAGAAGTTCATCATTCTTTTGAGGTTTTCAAAGAAAATAAAGCCCCTCTCTTTTGTCCACAAAGTAAAGAATTACTTTTTCCTCTCAACGTCCTTACAAATGAAAAAGTAAATGTAAACCAAGGGAGTACTATTTAATTTCTCCATATTTTCTGTAGAATGTTTGCCTCCGACACCAACCTAAGCGTGTGTGTATGCTAATACTTTAAGTAAAAATTTGTACTGGACTAAAACATAAGTCATTTCTCAATGTAGAACTTAAACTTTTTTATTTTCTAAATAGGACTTAATAATGTCTAGTGAGAAGAATAATGTCCAAGTGATGCTGGATATTTAGTTAAATAATAACTAATAGATAATGACCAATAGTCCTTCATTAGAAAATAAAATATATGGTCCTATATTGAGAAGACAATTATGTTTTAGTCCTGTTTAGATAAAATTTCCCATTTATATGGTCCATACTTTAAACTTTAAAGGATTAAAATAATGTTTTAGTCATTATTTCACATTTTTTACTCTTTTTTCAAAAATGATATGGAGTAATTACTTATTTTGAACCCATGAAATCAAATTTAGAATTAAAATTATTTTCCGTGCGTGTGGATTATAATTTTTAATAAAATATCATTTTTTCAGGACTCTACGTACAAATATTTTTAATACCTGTTTCGAATTCGTTAAATCATAAAATTTTCAAAAAAAATTTATACTAATAAATAAAATACACTCCTCACCCATAAATAAACTTTGTATTTATATATTATACATTTACATGATATTCCTTTGACTGTATTTATTTAAATATTGACACCTATTAAATAAAATACTTCTTTTACCTATAAATAAATTTTATATTTTTATGACACTTAAGGTATCACTTAATTTAAGATATAGAAAATGTGAATTCAAGGTTTTGGTATATATAAAATCTTTGAATAAGTTTAATTGTTAAAGAGAAACATTAATTTTTATGAAAATACTCTTTCCGAAAAGACAATTCCCAATGTTTTATGTTTTGCTACGACTTTTAACAAAGTCAAACATTATCATTTGTTGGTTCATTTTTACTTAATTCGGTGTTCACTTATGATCAACTTTGCGGTGCTGTTTCATAAGTAAAAAGTAAGGCAGAATTAAGAATATTAATTCTAGATGATAACAAAAATCCTTGCCACTACACCAAAATTGTTGTTTACGCAAAAGTCTTTCAAAAATATAGATGTAGAAAACCTTTGATATGTTCACTTTTAAATTTGTATATAATAATTTTCATAACCAAATATTTAATACTAAATTATTTATTTTATTTTGTTTTTAATGTCTATAGTAATAAAAAACATATTATATATATTTTCATAAATTCAATTTAAAATATTGCATTGAAGTTATTTTACAGAAGTGTTAAAAAATTCATCCAAACCCGTGTGTTGCACGGGTTAAAATACTAGTGTGTGTGTCTATATATATATATATATATATATATATATATATATATATATATATATATATATATTGCCCATAAATTAATTTCCCCATCCAAGCATTGCATGCATCATTATATTATTGCCCCCTTTACCACTTCAAACAACTTGATATCACTCAGAACAGAAACCCTGAAACACATATTTTGAGTATGGCATCCAAAATGATCCTTTGCCGCTGCTTGATGGTGATATTGGGAATAATCATCCAGACTTATTGTCCGGTTTCCTCTCGACCTTTTGCACGCCGCGATGCGGATAACTCGACGTCGTCCCTGCGAGCCATCTTCCGCGACTGGATGACTCTTCACGGAAAGAGTTACCCACTCGCAAGTGACGAATACGAAATGCGTTTTCAGATATTCAAAGAAAACGTGAACTACATTGAGGCTCTCAATAACTTCAATGCCTAGAAAGTATTTTAAGAGTCCAAGGTCCTTAATGTGAAAACAGGTTTCGATATCTTGGCTCGGTAATCCAGGCTGATGGGGAGTTAGATGCGGATGTTGGACATCGTGTTGGAGTGGCTTGGGCCAAATGGCGGTTAGCTTCAGGGGTGAAAATATCTGGTTTGATGAACCAGTCCTTGTCAATCGATTATTCCTGAAGAGTTAATCGACTATTTGACGCCTCTAAAAATCCGACGCCGGCGACCGAAAGTTCGCCGGAGGGGTGGCGTTCAAGTCGGGGCTGCCTTCTCTAGAGCTCTGCACGCTATTTACCAAACCGGGCCGGAGTTACAAGCTCGGGATTAACGAGTTCACAGACTTGACTCACAATGAGTTCACTGCCATTTATGCAAGTGGTCTAAAAAGCGTGGATATTACGAAGCCTAAACGGTTTCCTGCCTCGGCCTCGGAGAAGCGATTTAGGCATGAAAGCGAGACGGCGAGTCCTCTTCCAAACCGCGTAAGCTGGAAAACCAACGGTGCCGTAACAGCCGCCAAGAACCAAGGCAATTGCGGTATGTAATTGCTCTTTTACGCCGGCACTTTACCCTATGTTTGGTTCGTGGAATTCAAAAGAAAAATGATCCTTGCCGCGAAAAAATGCGAAATGAAAGAAAAATTAATAACTCTTCGAACTAATTAAACATAGTG